CATCTCAGCAGCTCGGCGCTCTCTTCGCCCACGGCCTGCTCCAGCAGTCTCCGGGCCTCTTCCCCCTGGCCCGCCTCCCTGGCAGCCTTGCCCTGCGCCTCGACGCGGCGGCGGCGATGACGACGACGGCGACGAGGAAGAGGAAGAGGAGGAAGGAGGAGGACAAGCAGGAGGGAGGGACAGAGGGGTACGGGCGACCAGGAAAGGATACCGGTATCCACCCTCATACCCCTCCTCCCTCCTCTCTGCACCTCCTCCTTCTCCTCCTCCTCCTCCTCCTCCTCCTCCTCCTGTCCAGGGGCCCTCGGGTCCGAGGAGGGCTCCGGAGCGAGAGCACCTCGGGAGCGCCAGACGCGGCCGACGCGGGCGCGGCCCCGCGCGCCTCTCAGCGTCCTCCTCCACCTCCTCCGCCTCCTCTTCTCCTCCGCCTCCTCCTCCGCCTCCTCCTCCTCTACCACCTCCTCCTCCTCCTCCTCCTCCTCATCCTCCCCCTCCTCCTTATCCTCCTCCTCCTTATCCTTCCCATCCCTCCTCCTCCTCTCCTTCTCCTCCTCCTCCTCCTCCTCCTCCTCCTCCTCCTCCTCCTCCTCCTCCTCCGCCTCCCCCACTTTCTGCTCGTCGTCCTCCTCCTCCTCCTCCTCCTCCTCCTCCTCCTCCTCCTGCTTCTGCGCCTCCTCCTAGGGTTCTGCGGCCTCGCGGAGGCCTCAGAAAATCCAGGGCCCCCCAGGAGGCCCTAAGAGGAAACCCTGGGACGCCTCAAGGCATTCTTCGGGGGGGGGTCTGGGGCATTCGGGAATCCTGGTCGCCTGGATTTCGGATGCCCTGGCCCCTCGAATGCCCGCAAATCCCACCAGCCCTCTGGGCGTAGGTGGTCTAGGGAGGCTCCTCTTCCAAACCCCCTTCTTCCCCTTCAGGAGGGGTTTATCACTGTTCCCTATTAATATACACTCCCTCCCCCAGGCGACTGGCAGCCAACCAGGAACACTGAGGACACCATGATCACCCCCCACCATCCTTGCCCAAAAACCCTATCAAGCGCAGTCTGCCTCCACATTCGGAGCATGCGCAACCAACCCGATGCGGCCTCCCACCATCCGTGTCAAATTACCCTGCGACGTACCCAACCCTTTCTACACATGTGGCGATTAAATGCAGGACCGCTCAATGCAAGCCCCTCAGGGGGCGGCGAGGTCCCGAGGTGGTCCGCGTGGGACGTACCTCCGCTGGGCCTCCCAGGAGCCCACAAACGTGGCGACAGTTGCGCAGATCGCAATCCCCCCAGGGGGCGGCGAGGTCTCGAGGTGGTCCGCGTGGGACGTACCTCCACTGGACCTCCCAGGAGCCAGCGAAAGAGGCGACAGTTGCGCAGATCGCAAGCCCCCCAGGGGGCGGCGAGGTCCCGAGGTGGTCCGCGTATGACGTACCTCCGCTGGGCCTCCCAGAAGCCCACGAAAGTGCCGACAGTTGTGCTGATCGCAAGCCCCCCATGGGGGATCGCAAGCCCCCCAGGGCACCGAGAGCTACAGTGGTGATCTGCGTATGACGTACCTCCGCTGGGCCTCCCAGGAGCCCACGAAAGTGTCGCAACCCCTAGGCACGCCCACCCAACAGACAAGACGGCGAGGCAGGAATCAGGAACCAGACGACACGAGAGAAGAGGAGAAGGGAACACATGAAACAGGAGAGGAGTAGAGGAGGAGAGGAGGAGGAGGAAAGGAGGATGAGGAGGAGGAGGAGGAGGAGGAGGAGGAGGAGGAGGTGGAGGCCACACTGCTCTATTCAAAACGAGTGCCCAACACAGGAGGGTTGGGAAACACACCGTGCATTTTTCCTTCAACAGTATTGAACAGTATAACAAAAGAGCAATCCCAGATGGCGAAAACCGTAAAACTACCCTGCATGAGCCCCGGTGGGTTCAGCGCCACGTTTTTCATTCCCCCCCCCAGCCCCAGACCGAAAAATTTAAAAAACACCATAGCTTTCTGCTGAAAAACTAACAGAAGAGCATTCAAATATCACAGAAACCGTAGAACTGTCCGGCACGAACCCCGGAAGGTTCCAGCGCCACGTTTTCCGCTTTCACCAGGCACCCGACCGAAAAATCGCAAAAACACAATAGTTTGCTGCTCCAAAACTGTTACAAACGAGCACACGAGAATTGCAAAAACCGTGAAACTGCCCGGCACGAGCCCCGGAGGGTTCTGCGCCGGGCGACTGCGAACACGAGCCCCGTAGGGTTCAGCGCTCCCAGTGTAACACGAGCCCTGGAGGGTTCAGCGCTACTGGCACGAGCCCCGAAGGGTTCAGCGCCAAGGCACGGGCCCCAAAGGGTTCTGCGCCCAGTACGTGGAGAGCACGAGCCCCGGAGGGTTCCGCTGTAGACGTCGAAAGCACGAGCCCCGAAGGGTTCAGCGCTCTCAACGCGGTTGGCACGAGCCCCGGAGGGTTCAGCGCCAAAGGCACGAGCCCCAGAGGGTTCAGCGCCAGACAAAATGATAAGACAAAGGAGGCGAAGGAGGAGGCGGACGGCGCTCTGGACGTCCCCTACGCCTTCCGACAAACGGATCCAAGATCCCAGGTCCGCCAAAACACTCATACTCGTCGTCGTCGTCGTCGTCGACGTGGTCAATGTCGTCGTCGTCGTCGTCGTCGTCGTCGTCGTCGTCGTCGTCGTCGTCGTCACCGCAGGCCCTGCCTCCTCCTCCTCCTCCTCCTCCTCCTCCTCCTCCTTCTCCTCCTCGTCCTCCTCCTCCCCCCTCCTCCTCCTCCCTCCCCCTCTTCTGCCCCTTCCAGGTGTGGGAGCCGCCCAGGGGACCTCCTCCGGGCTCCACGCCCACCTCCAGGGCGCACGCTCGCCTCCTGCGCGAACGCCCGCCTCCGAGGCGAACGCTCGCACCCAATAGAGGCCCCCGAAAGCCCCCAAGAGGCCCTACAGCCGGGGCCTTGACCTAAGGAGCCCAAAATAAGAGAGAGCGTGATCCACCGCCGCTTTACTGTGGAAAATTGCCGCCCTTTTCCTCCGGAACCCAAGGGTCCCCCCCCTCCGAAAATCTCCCCCCCCCCCCTGCTGGAACCCCTCCCCCCCCCCCTTCCCCGGCCAAACCCCCCCCCCCTCCCCTACCCCCCCCCCGAACTCGAAAACCGATGGGCTCACTACCGGTTCGAACCCCCCCCCCCCGTCGAAAACCGGAGGGAGGGGTCACTACCGGTTCGAACCAATGAGCTGTCCCACTGTTCCCACCACTGTCCCCCCTGTCCCTACCACTGTCCCCACTGTACCTCTGTCCCATTGTCCAACCGCCGTCCTCGCCACCGCCTTCACCACTGTCCCCAACACCACTGTACCCTCCACTGTCCTACTGTTTCCACCACATTCCCACTGTCCCCACACCACTGTCCCCACCACCACCGTCCCCACCACTGTCCCACTGTCCCCACTGTTCCCACCATTGTCCTCACCATTGTCCCCACCACTACCGTCCCCACCACTGTCCCACTGTCCCCACCACTGTCCCGCTGTCCCCTCACCACTGTCCCCACCACCACCGTCCCCACCACTGTCCGCACCCCCCCTCGGTTTTCGAGGGGGGGGGGGTTCGAACCGGTAGTGACCCCCCCCGGTTTTCGAGCTCGAGGGGGGGGGGGGGGTTCGAACCGGTAGTGACCCCCCCCCCTTTTCATGATGAACTGGGGGGGGGGGAGGGGTTCGAACCGGTAGTGACCCCCCCCGGTTTTCCGCCAGCAGCGGTAGAACACGCTCTTTCCAAAATAAGGAACGAGGCCCCTTTTTTCCATAAGTTAAACTTCGATTTCCGATCGAAAACATAAGGAAAACCTCAGGCAAGCTGCGAAACACATAAGGAAAGCGGAGCCCCTCCCCAACGAAAAGGGTTCCTTCTTCAGGGCCCCGACTGTAAGACGGCCCCCCACGGGCCCCGAAGCTGTTTCCAAGAGGCACTCAAGCCGCCAACCACGAGATCCCCACGAGCACTCCAGTGGCCTCTGGTCCACTACCCAGTCACCACGTGGGACGTACCTCCGCTGAGCCTCCTAGGAGCCAACGAAAGTGACAACAGTTGCGCAGATCGAAAGCCCCCCAGGGGGCGGCGAGGTCTCGAGGAGATCCGCGTATGACGTACCTCCGCTGGGCCTCCCAGGAGCCCACGAAAGTGGCGACAGTTGCGCAGATCGCAAGTCCCCCAGGGGGCGGCGAGGTCTCGAGGTGATCTGCGTATGACGTACCTCCGCTGGGCCTCCCAGGAGCCAACGAAAGAGGCGACAGTTGCGCAGATCGAAAGCCCCCCAGGGGGCGGCGAGGTACCGAGGTGATCCGCGTGAGACGAACCTCCGCTGGGCCTCCCAGGAGCCCACGAAAGTGGCGACAGTTGCGCAGATCGCAAGTCCCCCAGGGGGCGGCGAGGTCTCGAGGAGATCCGCGTGGGACCCACATCCGCTGGGCCTCCCAGCAGGCCACGAAAGTGGCGACAGTTGCGCAGATCACAAGCCCCCCAGGGGGCGGCGAGGTACCGAGGTGATCCGCGTGGGACGTACCTCGCTGGGCCTCCCAGGAGCCCACGAAAGTGGCGACAGTTGCACAGATCGCAGACGGCACGAGAGAAGAGGAGACGGGAACACAGGACACAGGAAAGAAGGAGGAGAGGAGGAGAGGAGGTGGAGACCACACTGCTCTATTCAAAGCGAAAACCCAACACCACAGGAGGGTTGGGAAACACAATTCAAAGTACACCTTGGGGCAAAGTCTTGAATCATGTTCGTGAGTCCCGCGAGCACTTTGTATGTTTTCTGACAGGGACGGGGGGAGTATCAGCATATTGTCTGCTGTGCGCAGGGCCGCCATTCCCATGAAACACAATACAACAATGCACCTCGCGGATAAATCTGGATCACGTGCAGCCACCCCGCGATCACTGGGAAGTGTTTTTTTGACAGGGGCGGCGGGGGTGGTGGCGTATGGCCTGCTGTGTGCAGGCTCACCAGACATAATGATGGGCATTGGTTTTCGACAAGGATGGTGGGGCCGGCATGTTTCCCGATATGTGACATGTGCTGTCGCGTGCGCAGTCGCACCTGACACACTCTGCACGTGCTCCGAACGTGGCGCACCTGGCGCGTCTGGAGTATGCAACACACCTGGCGCTCGCGGAGCACGTGGCGCGTCTGGTGCACCAGACGTGCCTGGCACGCTCGGGCCCCAGCGTCGCGACCCACCCGCGACCAACCCCGCGACCCATCCGCGACCCATCCGCGACCCACCCGCGACCCACCCCGCGACCCACCCGCGACCCACCCCGCGACCCACCCTTAAGGGAGAAACAGCTTTCCGAACCCGACAATTGACGTTTACTAAACGGCTCTGGGCGTTGACTAAACAGCCCTGCCCTGCTCGATTCTTCCCTTGTGTGCGTTTACTAAACGGCTTCGCCTGTCGGGGTGATGAATATGAGATGGATTTTTTGCCTTCTACACCCGCCACCCACCCGCGACCCACCCGCGACCCACCCGCGACCCATCCGCGACCCAACCGCGAGTTATCCACATTGGTTTAACGAAACAATCGGCGACTGCGGCGGGCTCTTTGTATAATTTGTGAAGCTTTGGCGCCTGCGGCGGACTTCTCCAGAGTCTCGTAAACTGCCGACGTCCCCACCGCCCCCTCACTCTTATCCGCATATGCAGGGTGCTACGTAATCTATTTTGGAATGTCACAAACAGGCGACCCAGACCCCCCCAAACATAGACCCCACATCATTATACACATCATTTTACATCATTGCACAGACTCCTCATAGTTCCTTCTTCACAGAATCTGGGGAATCAGTTGCTGTCGGGATTCCTGGTCGCCTGGGGTTTGGACTCAGGACGCCCTGGGAACTTCGAACATTTGCTGTTGAACAAAACCGTCTGCTTCGACATCTTTTACACTGAATCATCAGGGGGTCTTCGGCTTTCGGAATTCCAGGTCGCATGGGGTGCGGTGCGGACGATCAGGGTGACTTCCCAGGGCCTCAGAGCACCTGTGACAGAATTGCATGGGTTCATCTGCAACCTCCCCCCTCCCCGAAGACTCCCTCTGAGCGTTAAGAGCTCCAGAACAACCCCATGAGGACACCAAGAAGGCACCCCCAGAGCAACCGCAACAAATTCAACTATGTTACGGGCGCTCTGGAGGCATTCACGCGATTGTTCGCGGTGCTCTGGAGGGCTTCGCGAGGGCTCCAAGAGGGCTCACTGGGGAACTTCGACGAAGTGACGCGGCATTCGCAAGCACACTGAGTATGTTGCGACTGCTCTGGTGACCTTCTTGAGATCCTCTAGGAATTCGTCACGCTTCGCGTATCCAACCAGCTAGGTTCTGAGTGTGGCTTAGCCGCTGCTCGTTTAGGCCTGCGCGTTGCTAATTTGACAGGCCCGTGGCCCGGACCTCTCAGCTCGGCGACTGCGAATCCGCGTCCGCCCGCGACCAAAAAAGAAGAAGTAGCCCAACCAGCCCTGGGCGTCCTGGGGAGCTCGAGTTGCTGACCTTCCGTGTGCGTGGTCGCTCTCCCACACCGTACCCGCGTCCTATTCGGCACCCCAGCGGGCACGCCCTGCGCTACCTGGTACCGCAGCTTCGACTGGCGCGACTCTGCTTCTGATTTGTGATGCCTCCCGCACCATTTTGGCCGCGTTGAGCCCAGTTCCGCTCTGAGCCGGGCGCCGCTCGCTTCGCTGTTTTCCCGTTTGCGTCGGCACGGCCCGCCTTACCTTGCACGGCGTTCGACTCGTCTTCGCGCGCCCGCGTACCAAAAAGTACCCCCACCAAGCCGTTCAGAAACATTTCCCATGAGAGCTGAAGGGAAAAGGGACGACGGGACACATAGTGGAACAAAGCGGGCAAGCGGGATGAATAGCGAGATCTCGAGATCTTTGGAAGCAAGGGGGTGGCCTTGGTAGGTTTCTTCGGATGATCCCTGGGGCCAGCTGGGGGGCGAGTGGGAGGAGGATGAGGATGAGGAGGAAGAGGAGGAGGGAGAGGAGGAGACGGAGGAGGATGAGGAGGATGAGGAGGAGGAGGAAGTGGAGGAGGAGGAGGAGGAGGAGAGGAGGAGGAGGAGGAGAGGAGGAGGAGGAGAAGAATAAGGAGGAGGACAAGACAAGACAAGAACACTTGCGAGCCAATGGTTCGATGACCTGCTGATTTGGAAGCTGAGCACAGCTAGAGAACAAGGAGAGACGATCTGGAATTTGGCCTTGGGGAAAAAAGAGGAGGAAGAGGAGGAGGAGCAAGAGGAGGAAGAGGAGGAGGAGGAGGAGGAGGAGGAGGAGGAGGAGGAGGAGGAGGAGGAGGAGGAGGAGGAGGAGGAGACACACACCGGGCCCTTGTGGGACGCACTTGGGGCGCATTCGGCGCTTTGTGGGCCATCTTTACTGCCGTCTTGGTGCATCTTGGGGCACCCCTGGGGCTCTCTTAGGGCTCTCTTGGGGGCCTCTTGGGGGCCCTGGAGGGCCTGTTGGGGCCATCTTGGAGGCGATTGATCAAAGGAGGGATGATGTGGAGGGAGGGGGGGAGGACGGGGAGGGGAAGGACGATGAGCAGGCGGGCGGGGCGAAGAAGATGGACGGCTTCTCCTGCGTCAACTCTTCTGACCTCCTCAGTCCTTCTGGGTTCTTGCTCCTCCTCCCTCTCCTCCCTTGCAGGGGCGAGGAGGAAGGGAGGAAGGAGGGAAGACGAGCAGCAGCAGGATTACGAGGATGAGGACGCCGAGGGGGGGGGGCGGGCACGAGGGAGGACGAGCAGGAGGGCGAGACCCCGACCACGAACAACCTCGGCGTCACTGACGCAGAGGGGACAGTACCTACCGCTAGACTGCTACACTCGGGGCGCGCAGCGAACCGAGGTCGAGGCCGGCGAGGATGAGGGCATGAGGATGAGGATGAGGATGAGGATGAGGAGGAGGATGAGGATGAGGATGAGGATGAGGATGAGGAGGAGGAGGAGGAGGAGGAGGAGGAGGAGGAGGAGGAGGAGGAGGAGGAGGAGGAGGAGGAGGAGGAGGAGGAGGAGGAGGAGGAGGAGGAGGAGAGGAGGAGGAGGAGGAGGAGGAGGAGGAGGAGGAGGAGGAGGAGGAGGAGGCGGGATGCGCAGGATGCCAGCCCCTCTCGAGAGCCCCAGCGCGCTTGCACTGAGCGCTCTCGCCTGCGGCCATGAGGCGCCTGGACGGCGTCCCGGAAGCGGTGCAGGGGCGGGCAGAGGAGCGAGCGCGCAGGACCAGCCCAGCCCCCAGATGGCCCTCCCCCCTCCTCATCCTCCTCCTCCTCCCTCTCCTCCCTCTCCTTCCCTCCTCTCCTCCTCCTCCTCTCCTCCTCCTCCTCATCCTCATCCTCATCTCTCATCCTCATCCTCATCCTCATCCTCATCCTCATCATCATCATCATCATCATCATCATCATCATCATCATCATCATCATCATCATCATCATCATCACCATCATCATCATCATCATCATCATCATCACCCTCCTTCTCCTCCTCGATTCTCAACCTCGATCCTCCTCCTCCCCCTTCCCGGGAAAGAGAGGGAGAAGGAGCAAGAGGAGCAAGCGCGCAAGGTCGGCCCAGCCCCCAGATGGCCAGCTCCGACATCACGTGATCCTCTGACCGCCCCCCTCGCGGCGTACACGTCATGCCTCCTCTGCAATCGTGGTTGATTGGAGAGGACACCCGAGAGGACACAACACCGTTCCAAAGGCCACAAAGCCATGGGACTGCACAAGCACGGGTCGCGGAACACAGGACACACGGGTACCCCTGACTCGGCAGGCCCGACCTACTAATCAGCCCGGCCTGCGCCTCCTCCTCCCCCTCCTCCGTCCCCCTTCCTGGTCCCTCTCCTCCTCCTACCCCCCCTAGAGATCGCCAGCTCCGACATCATGTAATCATCTGGCCGCCCCCCCCCCGTGGCGCACGCGCGGCGCGAGCGAAACGGGCGGTGCTGGCGCTGCGTCTGTGTGGCCTCTCTGTTGCATCTGCGGCGCCTGCAGGAGGAGGGTGGCGGAGGCGGAGGGTGGCGGAGGAGGAGGAGGAGGAGGAGGAGGAGGAGGAGGAGGAGGACGATGGGGGAGGAGTAGTAGCTCTCTCCTGTTTCCGAGGCGCCTCCCCCGCCCGGCGCGTGGCCCGAGGCCTCCTCGACCTCGGCGAGCTGCGCCCTCAGCCGTTCGCACTCGCCCTGCGCCGCGGCGGCGGCGGCCCCCGAGGCGTCGCGGCCCTCCTGCTGGCCCTCGAGCGCTCGCCTCGCCTGGCGGGGGGCGCGCCCGCCGCCCGTCCGCCGCTGCGGAGTCCTGCGAGTCCTGCTATAATTTGGAGTCCCGAAACGGTGCCGTGACAGACCGTGCGGTGACCTCGAAATCCCCCAAGACCCCACCGCACGGTCCGTCAACGCACGGTTTTGGGACCTCGGAGGCCTCAGTCGCCCGAGACGTCCCCGGAGAACGGACCCGAGTCCCAAAACAGTGCGGTGACCCCGAATCCCCACCGACTCACCGCACGGTGTGGTCACCACCCCGTTTGAGGGCCCCCGATAGAAGCCTCCCCTCGATCGCTTTCCGGTATCGGCTACACGCAAGGAGCGACCCTGGGTGAGAGTGGCCTTTGGGGCGTGGCTTTCCGGGGGCCGCGAGGGGGGGCCACACGCAGGCACGGAAGACGCCACTGCCGCCTCGCGTTCGGCGATCGCGAAGACCCGGTGAGCCCGCACCAGAGGTCACTCCGGCGAAGGGTCTGCGTGCAGTCGACAGTAGCAGCCGGACATTCAGTGCGCCCGCTCCTGGCTTGCTGGAGCGCGCGTGCGGGTCGCCTCTGCCGCGGTGCGGCACAAAGATCGGTCGTTGGCCAGCTGCTCGGCCTCCCTGGCATCGCCAGTCGACAGGCCCTCTGACGGGGTCGGTCGGGGCCCGGGAGGTCGGGTGTTGCCAGAAGTGTCACCGGCCCAAGGTGCCCCAAGGACTTCCAGGGAGGCCCCCACGGCCTCCATGCAGAGCACCCCCCACGCGGCCGAGAAGGCCCTGGGGGCTCCAACATGGAGCGCGAAGCTGGGGGGGGCCTTGGGCCTGGGGCACCCCTAGCACCCCCCGACAAGAGGAGGTCCTTGTGGGCCACCATATGTTCAAAGCCAAAGAAACTTATCCCCAAACATCCCGGGACAACCCGTTGGACCATCCGGACGACCCCTCAAGATGCATACCCTGAGCGTCCCAACCTGTGATTGTGGCGCGGCCAGCCGTGAGCTCGTGGCGGCCACCCACCGGTTCGGGTCGTGACGTCTTTCTGGTGCTGGTCTCCGACGACGCCGCGGTGGAGCGTTCCACCTCGATCGCGCGGCGGCCTCTTGCGGTCACCCGGACGGCTCCGCAGTGGCCAACCCCGAGATCCGACGCTCCAGTAACAAAAACTATAGGGCGGCGGGTTTGGGGCAACTCTCGGCCTCTGGGGCCCTCGCCTGGCCTCGGCACCGTCAAACAACGACTCAGGACCCAAAGATCCGATGTCGTGATTTGTTCGGGGTCCCTGGGGGTCCTGCAGGACCCCTTCCCTGGGACCGGTTTTCGTCCTGAGTCGTTTCTTGACGGTCCTGGGGCCTGGCGAGGGCTCCTAGAGGCCGTAAAAGCCAAAAAATATCCGTCTTGTTTTTTTCAATACGTTGGATCTCTAGGGGCGCAAAACCAGCCAAAGCCCACGCATCGAATCAATGGGAGCGGCCGGCTGTCTGGGGACTCGGGGCCGCCAACGGCGCGCCACCTCGAACGCCCGCGCGGGGGTCGCCGCCGCGTCGACACGGGGCCGACCTACCGTGCATACCCTGAATATCCCTCCTGGGCCCTTATAGTTGAGCCCTGGGAGCGGCAGGGCCGTTTTTTACAGGTTCCGTTTTGCCGTTTTATTTTTGCTGGTTCCGATGCCGTGTTTTCACCGGTGCCGTCGCCGTTTGTTTACAGGTTCCAGCTCCGGTTCCAATCCTAGAGCTGTTTTTTGCTGTGTCCGGTCGCCTATTTTTTTCCGTTTCCAATTTTCAAGAGACACTTCTTCGGAAGCGGTGAAAAAAACGACCCTGCCGTTTCCGGGGCCCACTGGGCCACCTACCTGGGTACGCTCTTCAGAGTCCAAGCCGTAGGGGTAGGACTCCAACGACATGCTGCCGACAGCTGGCCCGAAGTCGCGCCCCCAAACGACGGCACGAATTGCCACCACTTTCACCCACTCGCCCCTGCCTGCCATCCCGCCAATCCTGGTGCCATCGCACTCAACAGTTACCTCCCCGTGGAGCCGATGAAGATAATGACGATGACGATTCGGAAAGAAACGCGAAAAACGACCTGAGAGAGCTTTCTGACAGCACACGGGAAGTATGTGAGTGCAGTCGCTCAGCATCTAATACATTCGTGGTTTGATGTCCTGCACTTGGCTTGGCAGACTGGCCAATTGAGAGAAGGAGCTATGGCATCATGAATGCATGGGATGGCAAGACCAAGTATGATAATCTCGTCAATATTCCGTCCGTGCTCGCGTCAAGGAAGATGCTGCCTTTGAATCTGGAATCCCTTTAAGAAGCACCGCGGCCGCGACATGGCATCCAGCCATGGTGCCAACCCAAGCCACACCAAACTTCGTCGGCTCATCTAGGTGTGGAAAAATTCACAATGCATGCGCTGGGTCTGGCACACATCCAAAACAGAGGAGCTCAATTCATATGCGTCTTAAGACCTTGGGCAATCTAGATCGCTGAATGGCAAATTTCTAGTAAACAGCATGCGGATGCGTGCGGTCGATGTCCGGCTCAATACTGACGCAGCCACACGACCACTGATGACTACAGCCGGACCTAGGCCAGAATAACACCCTTCAAGAACGTGAGACCCTCCGTCGGCCAAAACAAACAGAATGTCCAAGGGCTTCCTCCCAGGATGCACAAGAGAATATCCAACAGACGCGAAGAACAGTCGGGTACCCTCCCCAAACCGACCTCCATCTGATACCTCGGTCCGACTGTAACGCACGACGGACAAAACAGGGCATCAAAACCATCGCAGGGGCCGGCGGCGACGATAGGGGCGAATAGCCCAGGGGCGGGCATTACACGTATTCGCCCGGGAGCGTTTTCGAAGAAATAGATCATCGGCGCCCCTGAATACACGTCGTTCATTTCTAATCGTGCTCATTTCTAATTGTGCTCGTTTCTAATTGTTCCTGGCCCCCTAGTGGCCAGGAAAAGGCCCAGGACAGAACAATTAGAAATGAAAGGATCTTGCCCCCCCAACAAAAAACAAAGAACGTTCGCAGCATTAGAAATGAACGACGTGTACATGTGTTGCTATCCCCTGGGCTACTCGCCCCCATCGTCGCCTCTGGAGGGGCTTCTTCCCCAGCTTGGCCCCCGCCCTGGCCAGCGCCTCGCCGCCTCCGCGAAGAGAAACCCTCGCCCCGACCACGCACACGCGCACGGGGCCCCCTCCGCTCTCGCCTCCCGCCCGCCCGACTGTGTGATCAGACAGGGGGAGCCACGTGCACGGGCGAGCGTCCTGACCCTGGGCTGCTTGACCGAGTGGTGCCGTCGGAAGAGGAGGGGGAGGAGGAGGAGGAGCAAGAGGAGGAGGAGGAGGAGGAGGGGGAGGAGGAGGAGGAGGAGGAGGAGTCGGAGGAGGCGGAGGAGGAGGCGGAGGAGGAGGAGGAGGCGGAGGAGGAGGAGGGAGGTTGGCCGGGCCTCGGATTCCCGACGGCTGTTTCTCCGGACGGGGCTCGACAGCTACTTTCCTCCGAGGAGGGCGGGTCGCTCGGCAAAGCAAGCAAAGAGAATGTCCTGATCCTCAGCTTCTTCCACACTTTGGAGGCGGCTCTTCAGCTCCTCGGTGGCTGGCTGGGGATCCCCTTGGGCACGCACACGCGGTGAGCGGCGCGCCCCCCGTGACCTCCCCGCCTGCAAGCGCAGATGCACAAGAGCGCAGCGTTTTACGCTTGCACTCGCCTGAATTCGAGGAGCTCGCAGACGCTGCACACACGAAGGGAAGGCGGAAGGACAGAGGGAGTGGGGTGCATACGACCCAGCCTGATCAATATCGCAACACACAGAAACTAAAACCGAATAACTCGTCTGCCCCTCTCCCTGCATCGCGGACCATAATACGCGCGTCCCTCCGGCAACCGACTGATTTGGATTGATTTGGCTCCACGGCGGTGCAACATCCCTCCACTGGCGGGCGTCTCACGGGGCTCTCTCGTGCCGTGGCTTGGGCGCGCGTCTCCCTCTCCTCCTCCTCCTTCTCCTCCTCCTTCGTTTTCATGCTGTTATTTACTCCTCATCATTTTACTTCTCCTTCTCCTCTTTCTTCTACTCATCCGTCTCCTTGCTGGGCCCAGCTGTTTGTCTTTAATACGGATGTGTTCTCTGTTAGTTCGTTGGTTTGTTGGTTTGTTGGTATTGCTGTTTGTGTGCTTGTGTGCTTGTTGTTTGCCTGCCTGATTGTTTGTTTGTTTGATTGATTGTCTGTTTGTTTGTTTGTTGGTTGTTTGCTTGTCGCATCATTCCTGGTCTTCCTTTTCTCCTGCGGGTCCCGGCCCTCGCGCAACTTCCACAGAATGGGGGATCTCCACACCGCTCGAAGCTCAGTCGCTTCCACTCCGCCGCGCCGCAAAGACAGTCCTCATCCTCGTTGCTCCTCCTCCTCGTTTTAAGTCGGGCGTGTCCCCCTACAGGGGGAAGTTTGGACGAACAAAATAATCAAAACCAAGTTTAAGCATGCCCGACAATAATTTTTCAAAGTCGTCCCCAGACTATTTGTTTGACTCTTTTTGGATACTCCCCCTGCAGAGGGGCACGCCCGACTGAAACCTCGTTCCTCCTCCTTCGCATCCACAAACCTTCCAATCGGGGATGGACAGAACCCCCTTTAGTGAAAACGTGGTTTAGTGAAAACGACCTCGGGCCCAAACCTGGCGGGCGCAAGCCTGGAAAATGTCGGCCGCGGCGCCATCTCGAGAAACGAAGACGGACAATCCACTAATCGACGAGTCAGGGTGGGGGGTCTGTCCACCCCCGATTTAACGGCTCCAGACAACCTCCGGAGGGCTCCCAGGGGACCTCTGGAGGCCTCCCGGGGACACTCGGAGACCTCCGGAGGGCTCCAGAGGCTTCCTCCTGCTCCTCCGCCTCCTCCTCCTCCTCCTCCGCCTCCTCCTCCTCGGCCTCCTCCCCCTCCTCCTCCTCCTCCTCCTCCTCCTCCTCTTCTCATTGTCGTCATCGCTCCAAGCTGTTATTCGTGCAATCGGTTGAGGCTGATGGTGAGACAAGCCCTTCCTTGACGCTCCCCTCGTGTTCTCTCCGTGCGCTGACCCGCAGGAAGCTGTGGCCGAACGCGTGCCAACGACTCCGACGACGCCAGCCGCACATCTCGTCGAGGTGGCCAGTCCGGTCCTTCGCCTCGCTTTCCTGCGACTGCTCCGCTCTTCTGGCAGCGCCTCGGGGGAGAGGTTGTCGCGTCCACGGGAGGAGGGGCGAGCGTGAAGAGGGGGCGGCGGGCGCGAGGGAGTTTGCCTGGCAAGAAGGGAGGAGCAGGAAGAAAAGGAGGTGACGGAAAAAAACGGAGAGGAGGAGGAGGAGGAGGAGGAGGAGGAGGAGGAGGAGGCAGAGCGGTGCTCCCGAGGTTCGTCTGCTCATGCTGCTTCTGCGGGCCCTCTGCCAGGCGTGCTACAAGGGCGATCTCGAGCGTGGACATCGCGGACGAGGCGGAGGAGGAGGAGGAGGAGGAGGAGGAGGAGGAGGAGGAGGAGGGCGGGGATCATGAGGAGGCGGAGGAGGGCGAGGAAGAGGAGGGCGAGGAGGAGGAGGGCGAGGAGGAGGAGGAGGAGGGCGAGGAGGAGGAGGAAGACAAGGAGGAGGAGGAGGAGGAGGAGGAGGAGGAGGAGGAGGAGAGCGAGCGAGTGTGAGGGCGCGAGCCGCGCCTGCCCTTGCGCGCAGGGCAACTATGGACCCCCGTCTCGAGGCTCCCGACCTCCGCCCGCGGGGTGCTATCTGGCCTTGGGAGTGGGTCCGTGGCCCCTGGTGGCTGTGAGCGTGTGTGCCCGGGGCCTCATCCAGCAGCCGCGGAGTAGCTCTGCGCAGGCAGCGCCGCCGTGGAGGAGGGAGGAGGGAGGGGGAGGAGGAGGAGGAGGAGGAGGAGGAGGAGGAGGAGGAGGAGGAGGAGGAGGAGGAGGAGGAGGAGAAGGCGGAGGAGGAGGAGGAGGAGGCGGAGGATGGAGGGGGGAGGGGGGGAGGAGGAAGACGAGGAAGAAGGAGAGCGACGAGCGCTTGACCCCTCCCTCCCTTTCTCCCCCATCGTCCCCCTCGTCCCCTCGACCCCTCCCGACACCCTTCGCTCCACTCTCCCACCCACTCACGCCACTCGTTGTCTCTCCTACCCCCTCGTCTCATCCCCCCCGCTCGTTCGATCCCACCCCCCCTCCTTCCCCCCTCCTTCCCCCCTCCTCCCCCCTCTCCCTTCCCTGCTCTCCTTCCTTTCTCGCCATTCCTCCTTCCTCGGCTGATGTACGGGCCATATGGGCCATTGAGACTGGAGTCCAGGTGGCGCGCAGAACATGAGAGATTCCAGATATAAATTTGGGGTCCAGCGGTAACTCTCGGAATGAGGAGTATTGGGACTACGACGAAGACGACGGTGATGAGATGGAGGATGAGCACGAGGAGCTCAGAAAGTGAGGGGCGGGTGAGCAGCATGAGGCATGAGGAACGAGCGGGAGGTGGGCGCAATGAAAGAACGGGCGGTGCAAGGTGAGATGGAGGCGGACGCGGGAGCGGAGGAGCTGCAGCAACTGAAAAGCGTGTCGTGTACATGTTGGCATCATTGAACATAACAAACAAGACCCTCGACATCGTGCGGACTACCCTTCGACATGTACCAGGACGACCGAACCAAATCTAGTTGGGCGCGGTGCATTGCTTCAACTGTGTTCATGCAAGGCTTTCGTCAATACTGCCAACACGAGGGGGTGGGGGGGCTCCGCAAATCTGGACGGACACCTCCCCAGACTCAGCCAGGCAGTGCGTTATCAGTTTGCTCGCGGGCGTGCTCTGCAGAAGCAGCATTTCACAGGCCGGCCGACTCCAGACTATCTTACATTGAACGCTCGAGCAAGGACCATTCAGAAGACACCGCGGGCTGTCAACGAGTGACGCCCCATACGAGCAACGAGTGAATCCATTCGGAGCTACCCTGGACTGGCTGGGCATGCAACACAAAGCGCCAATGTCGTGCGGCTGTACTGCAAAATGGGGTACGCATGCGCCCAGAAGCAAAAGGCAAATTACAACTACAGGTATTGCCTGCGGCCTCTTCTTCGCTTGCAAAGCGTTGCTGAGCCTCCGCTCCAGCCTCCTCAGAGACAGCCAAGTCCTGGTGCAGAATCAATGCAGAGCTGCATGAAGCGCTGGCGTGTCACCTACACAGGCACCTTCTTAAGAACGCACGCGACAATGATATATTCGGGGGGCAGCTTGTCCGTAAACGCTGGTATCGTTATCAGTTTCTCGCTGCGTCCTTCTATGGTGGTGTGTGCGCTCTGTATTTCATCTGCTAGTGTTGGGTCAAGAACTGTGACAGAGGGGCTGGTACTCACACTGTACCGCGGGCTAATATCAAACACGTGCCATGTGTTCTAGCGCAGCTTCGGCGGAGGACGAGAGGCGGCGACAACGGACACACAAAAACGGCAAAGGCCCCCTCCCCGTCATGCCCGACCATCTTGCCCGGAACCTCTGTGCAACATTCCCTGCTAGCGGGTGCGCGCAGTGGGGCGGAGAGTGCAGAGCGCCAGAATGAACCTGCATGGCGCCGACAACCATGGCGAAGCGGGGAAATCCGCCATCGGGCCTCGAGGCACGAGGAGGAGTGTTCCCCAAGCTTCTAGAGTTCTCTGTACTCTGTACTCAGTCACGTGGTGATTCTTATCGAGAGGCAGGGGACCCAAAATCTCAAATCCGTCCCGCGCGTTCCAGGGCTTCCCCGCGTGACGCTTCAAGAATCCAGAGGTCCCCAAGACGGGCCAAGAGAGCCCCAAGAAGCGCCCAATAGACCTCCAAGAACGCCCAAGATGGCCCTAAGACGCCCAAGATGGCCACAGACGGCCCAAAAGGCTTCCGAGACGCCCCAAACGGGCTCCAAGAAGCCCCCCCAGAGAGCCCAGGGACGTTCAAATCCGCGATCCCCCGTATCACATGTTCTGGCGTTCGGCGCCCTGAAAAGGCCGAAGAGACCCCCAAGATCGCCCCAACAGGCCACCACGAGCACCCCAAGACGGCCCAAGATGGCCCAAATATAACCCAAAGGGCCTCCAAGACGGCCCAATACAGCGCCAAGCCAAGAGGGGCCTACGTAAGGCCCAAGAGCGACATTTCGAACCCTACGCCCCAAGATGGCACCCGAGACCGCCAGCAGGCCCCCCAAAGCCCCCCCACAATCTCCAGGAGGCCACCAAGAGGCCACCCCCAAGAGACCCCAGAGAGGACCCCCAAACACCCAAAACCCGAAGCCAAGAGGATTCCCTGAGGCCTCCCAAGAGATCCCCACAGGCATCCCAAAGGCCTCTGACCCACAACCCAGGCGCGCTGGCGGGATGGGCCGAAGGCCAGTAGATCCGCCGCCCCCTTGTGGTCTTGCCACAGGGGTGCCAGGCGTGCAGGGGTGCACGGCGTGCTGGATGATTCAGGTTTTGGTTTTGGTTCTTTTTCTAAAAGAACTCCCCAATGGGCTTCGGCCCGTCCCGCCGGCCACCCGTAAATTTCCCAAAATGCGTCTGTCAATGCCTTTGTTGCCCCAACTTGGCCCAAGATGGCCTCCAAGACGGCCAAGATGGCCCAAGATGGCCTCCAAGATGCCTCCAAGACGGCCACGATGGCCTCCAAGACGGGTAAGATGGACCCAAGATGCCTCCAAGACGGCCCAAGATGTCCTCCAAGACGGCCAAGATGGCCCCAAGATGCCTCCAAGATGGCCCAAGAGGCCTCCAAGACGTTCTCCAGGAGAGCCCGAAGAGGCCAAAATCATTGGTTTTCCTTAGGTTTTTGAAGGTTTTTTGCGTTTTCTTCTTTTCGGCCTTCCGACGGCCCAAGAGGCCCCCAAGATCGCCCAAGAGGCCTCCAAGAAGGCCCTATGACGGCCCAAGGGCCCCCCAAGACGGCCCCAAGAGCGCCCCAAGACGGCCCAAGAGGCCTCCAAGACGCCCAACATGGCCTCCAAGACGGCCCTGAAGCGCCCCAAGAGGGCCCCAAGACGGCCCAGAGAGGCCCCCAAGACGGCTCCAGACGGCGTCAGACGGACCAGGAACGCCCTAAGACGGCCAAAGAGACCCCCAGGAAGCCCCCAAAGGCCCCCAAGAGGCCCAAGGAGGCCCCCAAGATGCCTCCAAGAGGCCTCGAAGAGGCCCCCAAGAAGCCCCCAACAGACCCCAAGGGTGCCCCAAGAGACTCCTAACAACCCTCATCCTCCTACTCTATTTCTTCCTCTTCCTCTTCCTGTTCATAATCATTCTCTCCCATGTGTTCCCCGAAAGCTTTCCAAACCGACTCGGGGAACTCATGGTCCGATAGCTTGGCCAAGCTCTAGTCCAACTTTCGGCCACATCGGCGTTTCCAAAAAGGCAGGGGGCGGCGGTGATTCGCCGTAGGCGTCTTCGATCCGCCGCCCCCTTGTGGTCTTGCCACAGGGGTGCCAGGCGTGCCAAATGTCTGGCAAGTTGCTCCCCACATCCAGAGTGGTGTGTTTTCTCTAGACGCCCCGCTCAGTAACAGGATGGAAGGAACACCCCCTCTCCTCGCACTCACACGCTCACACACACACCCACATCACCATCACAACATCATCAAGAGGCGGATTTTTGACGAAACATGCAGAATCGTCAGTAACTAACACCGGAATGCTCAGAAAATAATTTTCTAAAAATCGTCCCCAGATTTGTTTATACTAGTTTGGAAAATGCCTCCCATTCACGTCGTTCATTTCTAATCGTGCTCGTTTCTAATTGTGCTCGTTTCTAGTTGTTCCTGGCCGCCTAGTGGCCAGGAAGAGGCACAGGATAGAGCGATGAGAAATGAAAGGACCCTGGCCCCAGAATCAAAGAACCTTCGAATAATTAGAAGTGAACAATGTGTAGAGGGACGTGCCCGACGAAAGGGTCCATGAGCGGGGGGGGGGGGGGGGGCGGGGCGGCCGTCGGAAGGCGCTCTCTCCGGGGCGCCCTGTGGCCTCCTGGGGCCGCCTGGGAGGGCGGGGGCTGCGCGGGGGGGAGGGGGGGGAGGGACGCCGCGGGCCCGCGGCGGGGGGGGGCGCAGGATCGTCGGGGTCGGCAGCGGGACTCTTGGGATCTGCCTGAGATCAGGCACGTTCCCCTGCAGGGGGGTTATTGGGGCGGAAAACAGGTTAAAAATACCAGAAACATACCACGACATGGTCAACAAAATCTAAGAACAATGCATACAAATACAAAACAACCAAGAACAAAAAGGTAAACAACATCGTCCCCAGACTATGTTTGACTGTTTTGAAGGTTCCTCCTGTAGAGAGGAGGGACAGGCCCGACTTAGGGCCAGGATCCCCTGGGTCAGCAGCGAGGGCCCTCGGGACCTGCGAGAACTGAAAGGACCACTGACCCTTCACAGGAGGGGACCCTCTTCCTCCTCCTCCTCCTCCTGCTCCTCATCCTTCTCCTTCTCCTCCTCCTCCTCCTCCTCCTCCTCCTCCTCCTCCTCCTCCTCCTCCTCCTCCTCCTCCTCCTCCTCCCCCCCCTCCAAGGTAGGAGGGGACTCTTAGGAGTTTGACGACCTACCAGACCACCCGAACCCAACCCGAAGGCCCGAATTTCGGATTGGGGGGGTAAGGGTCCCCTCTGTGCTTTTTATCGGTGTTCCCCGACCCCCCCCCCACTGGAAACGGAGGGCAAGTGAAAGCCTTCGGGTTGGGGTGGGATGGTGTGGTGGTTGGTGAGATGGAGGGCCAGAACACTTAGGGATGCCTGGGGGTCTTCCTGCGAAGACGCATCCGGCCAGGCCGCCCAGAACCACCACCCCTGACGCCAAGGCGGGGGCATCAGTGAGGCCACGCCTCCATCGTCGATCAATCCTCCTCCTCCTCCTCCTCCAAATCCTCCTCCTCGTCCTCCTTCTTTCCTCCTCCTCCTCCTTCTCCTCCTCTTCTTCATCCTCCTCCTCCTCCTCCGCCAAGGCGGGGCTTCTTCGGTCATCGATGACCTTACCGGGGGGAAGACTGGCGGCGCGCCGCGGGGGGCCTCGCGGCCCGGCGAGGTTGCCCCGAGGGCAAAACAGAGAAAAGGACGGTCCGCGAAGAGCACGGGCCGGCCAGGACGGGCGGCGTGGGCTCCCCCGTCCCCCCCCCCTCACAGGCACACCATCTTGGCGCCGCGCACAGGAGGCTAGGGGGAGGGGGGAAGACTTTTTAGAAGGAGGCTGCCTCTGAGAAGGCGCTGGCCTTACGTACATCTACAGTCTACAGACAAGGCCCGCGCGTTCTAAGAAGCAGGGGTGCTTCTACGAAACCTTCTCCCCTCCCCCTACCCCCCTCTGCGCGTGGCCGGGAAGAAAGGGCGGAGCGGACGATGGCAGGGAGGATGAAGAGGAGGAGCAGGAGAAAGAACACGCACGCCTCTCTTCCTGCAATTGCTGCCTCTCCCCCTTCCCGCCACCCCTCCCGACCGCCCCCTTCCCCTCCCCCTCTTCCTCTCCTCCACTCCTCCCTCTCAACTTTTTCCTCCTCCCGCATTCCGTCCCTCCTCCCTCCGGCATGGTGAGGGGGCTCAGGAGGAGTGGAAGGGTGAAGATGGGGGATGAGAAGGGGAAGGAGGATCTTCAGCCTGTGGACTCTATCGGAGAATTTGCCAGATTTGACAAGCAGCCAACCTCCGATCCTGCGGTCGCAAGAAATTCCAGGCTTCAAGGTCACACTGCGTGACGGGGCCTCGCACGAGAACAAGATTGCGAAAGGGGACGGCGCTCAATCTGTGCAGCTGCTGGAGAATCCCAACTTGTGAGGCTTAACGGGCTCTCAGGCGAGAATCGCACTTGAAAAGATACCGCCATCCATCTGTGCAACTATCAGGTCCCAACTTTCTGAGCACAATGTCGCAGGAACTTCCAAGTGGCAACGGCATGTTGAACGATGCTGCCCCTCGCCCCTGGGAAGCGAATGTGCGCGGCGTCAGGCGGGAATCAGGAACAACCGTTTCAGAAGGCACCGCCTTTTCCGCCGGTGTCACAGCTTGGGGGAAATTGGAAGAATGTGAGCGGCGCCGCTGCAGAGCAACAACTTCAAGACAGACCAGCCTCCGAGCGCGTAGCTGTGTAGCTCTTCATGTGACCTAGAAATATGCACAGCCTCTCCTCCTCCGCCTCCTCCCTAATCCCCTCCTTCCTCAGCGTCCTCCTCTCGCCTGACCCCTCCCTGCACCTCCCGTTGTGTTGGGGAAGAGGGGCGGGGGAACGGAAGTGGTGGGTGGAGGACGACGAAGATGAGGAGGAGGGGGAGGAGGAAGACAAGGACGAGGAGAACGCAACAGCTTCGTCGCAGCAGCTAGACAGGGGCACTTCTCTGCCCCGCCGTCCGGCGCCGCCGCCATCATCGCTCTGATCTGCATGCTGCCTCAGTACCAGCTCCCGCCTCCGCCCCAAGCATGCTGCCTCAGTACCAGCCCCCGCCTCTGCCCCAAGCGGGTGGCGCTGGGGCCACCCGGGGGGGAAAGAGGCCCCAGCCGTGCCCGCGAGACCAGACAGTCCGCAGTAAGACAAGCCATCGGGTATGAGTGCACCCGCTGTGGTGGCCGGCCTCAGGCAGAACAAGATCATCCGCGCAAAACTGAAACTAAACTTTCAGGGCAGCGCGAGGATCTCTTGGATCGGGCCTGCGACCCCCTCCCTGGCGCGCGGGGCGCGCCAGGGACGGCGCTGCAGGCGCCGCCAATGTGGCCCAGACGCCGATCCAAGAAATCCGCGCGGAGAACCGAAAGCTGATCCGAGGAGGGGGGGGAGGAGGAGGAGGAGGAGGAGGAGGAAGAGGAGGAGGAGGAGGAGGAGGACGAGGACGAGGAGGAGGAGGAGGAGGAGGGAGGAGGAGAAGGAGGAGGAGGAGGAGCAGCAGCAGCAGCAGGAGCAGCAGGAGCAGCAGGAGGGGGAGGAGACATAGGAGCAGGCGGGGGGAGCGGGAGGAAGCGGACCAGCAGCAGCAGCAGCAGCAGCAGCAGCAGCAGCAGCAGCAGGAGCAGCAGGAGGCCGCCGCTCCTGGCGCGCCTGCTCGCACTCGCGCTCGAGGCGCTGGGCCCTCCGGAGGCCCTGCTCCACCTCCTGGGGCCGGCGCAGCGCGTCCAGCGGGCGAGCGCGACGCGGAGGGGGAGGGGGAGGGGGAGGGGGAGGAGGAGGAGGAGGAGGAGGAGGAGGAGGAGGAGGAGGAGGAGGAGGAGGACGACGAGGAGGAGCAGGAGGAGCAGGAGGAGGAGGAGGAGGAGGTGCTGCTTATGTGTTGGGAGGGCGGGTGGGCATGAGCGAGACGGCTTGTTGCCTGTGGGTAGCTTGATCACTGTTCCCTATTGGCAAATGACCACCCCTTCCCCCACATGACTGGCAGCCAACCCGAACCCATGCCGACCCCCCCCCCCACACCATCGCTGACCAAAAATAATTCTCAGTACACTTTGCCTCCAAATCTGGAGCATGCGTCCCGCGACCACTTCACGTTTGTTTTTAACAGGGACGGCGGGGGGGCTCATATTGCCTGCTGCGTGCAGGCCAACCGCATTCCTGACAAAAACAATGCAAAGTACACTACGACTCCAAATCTGGAGCATGCGCGGGCGCCCCACGACCACTTTCCATTTTTCTGTGACATGGACGGCGGGGTGCCGACATCATTTTTGCTTGATGCGTGTTGGCCAACCGTTCCTGTCATATTGCAAAATACACTTTGCCTCCAAATCAGGAGCATGAGAGGTTGCGCCGCGACCACCTTGCATTGGTTTTGACCGAGGTACTTGGATGCTACTTTTGAGTTGGGAGGGCGGATGGGAGTGAGCGAGACGGCTTTCGCATTGTGGGCAGGAGGTGCCTTGACCCCTCCCGCTACCTCCTCCCCTGGGACTGGGCGGGGGTGCCGTAAGGTGTCCGAGAGCCCAAGAACGCGACAGCGAGAAGGTAAGAGTCATTGATTCATATATATATATATATAAATAGGTTTTGGGCCAATTGTGGACTCCTGGGGATGGGCTAATTGAGTACTCCCCCCTCGTTGATCGATCTCCTCCAAGATGACCCCCAAAGCTCCCAAGAGTGCCCCAAGAGGCGCCCAGGAGGCCCCAAGAACCCCCCAAGAGTGAGCCAAAAGACCCTCAAGAGGCCCCCAGAGGCTCCCCAAAGAACTCCCGGGACCGCCAAAAGGCCCCCAGATGCCCCTAAAGGACTCCAAGCAGCTCTCAGGAGACATCTGGATATCATTTGGAGATGGCGCTCGCCTGTTGGCGGCCAGATTGCGGGGATGTCCGGAGCGAGCTGCACCTCCGAACCCTGTCCATTCAGAGCCCCATGCTCACCTCAGTGTAAGGAGAAGGACGGCCACAATGGGCTCGTTTCTCCTTTATCCTCTCCCTCTGGGTGCATGATGGCTTCCCCAGCCATTCACTCCACCGGATGCTCCTCCACACCCCCGATCAGGGCAACTCGCCTGGACATCGCTTCTGGATGGGAAAGAGTCTAGAATATATGTATGTATGTATGCATGCATGCATGTATCTGTATGTATGTATGTATGTACGTACGTACGTATGTATGTATGTATGTATGTATGTATGGATGGATGTATGTATGTATGTATGTATGTATGTATGTGTGTATGTATGTGTGAGTATGTATGTATGTATGTATGTATGTATGTATGTATGTATGTATGTGTGTAAGTGTGTATGTGTGTATGTGTGTATGTGTGTATGTGTGTCTGTCTGTCTGTCTGTCTGTCTGTCTGCCTGCCTGTCTGTCTGTCTGTCTGTCTGTCTGTCTGTCTGTCTGTCTGTATGTATGTATGTATGTATGTATGTATGTATGTATGTGTGTATATGTATGTATGTGTGTATGCATGTATGTGTGTATGCATGTATGTGTGTCTGTATGTATGTATGTATACATGTACGTACGTGTGTATGTAGGTAGGTAGGTAGGTAGTTAGGTATGTATGCATGTATGTATGTATGCATCGATGTGCGTGTATGTATGTATGTATGTATGCATGCATGTATGCATGTCTGTATGCATGCCTATATGAATGCATAATTGCATGTATGTATGCATGCATGTATGTGTGCATGTATGTATGCATGTATGTATGTATGTATGCATGCATGCATGTATGTATGTATGGGTGGATGAATGGGTGGATGGATGGATGGTTGTATGTGTGTATGTGTATATGTATGCACAAATATATATATATATGTATGGGCACAGTTTCCGGAGGGGGGAGCGTGTAAGACCTGTATGCTTCGAGATTCGGTGGTTCCCCCTCCACAGCGAACGATGGAAGAAACACGCGGCAGGATGCAGGCGCGAGGCCGCCCAGGAGGACAACCGCCACCGTCTGGTCCCCGCTCCTGCCCCCCTCCGCCTCCGCGGCCTGCGCCGCCCGCCCGCGCCCCCCCTTGCGCTTCGCCTCTACTCGCACTGCTCTGCTCTCGTTCCCCCCTCGCGCTTCGCCTCTCCTCGCGCCGCCTGGCTCCCTCCTCCTCTCTCTCTCTCTCTCTATCTCGCGCTCCTGGCCCTTTGCGTGCCTCGCCCCGCCTCGGGGGCAGCGAAGCCCTCCGCTCCTGGAATCAGGAGGCTGGGGGTACCACGGGGGCCAGAGTCTTTGGCGCGCTCCTCCTCCCCCGCCTCCTCCTTCTCCTCCTCCTCCTCCTCCTCCTCCTCCTCCTCCTCCTCCTCCTCCTCCCCCTCCTCCTCCTCCTCCTCCCCCCGCCTCCTTCTCCTCCTCCTCCTCCTCCTCCTCCTCGTCCTCCTCGTCCTCCTCGTCCTCCTCCTCCTCCTCGTCCTCCTCCTCCTCCTCCTCCTGCTGCTCCTCCTCCTCCTCTTGGCGGTGCCGATCCTTCTGTGGGAGGGAGGCAGGTGCGCTCTGGAGAGAGCGAACGCCCAGATCGAACAATGCGGCTCTGTTGCCTCGGGAGAGCGGGTTCGGGGCCAAGCACGCCTCCAGCAAGCAGCTGGCCTGCGGTGGCTCGTTCTTGGGAGTGCCTGCTTCCTGCACGGGGCCCCCTCACTGTTGCTCACTGATGGGCGCCCCAGACAGGCCTCGGGCAAGACGCCAAGTCCCTGCATCCAAATCATTCAAATCATCCGCAGGGGCCTAGAGTGTTCGAGCGCAGTTTGGATCAGCCCCCGAGGCGCCTTTATTGTGTTTCCCTTTTGACGTTGTGCTAATTGGAGGTCAGGGCCTGAAGCGCTTAGATGCGAGGAAGATCGCCGACTTCGGCGGAGTGAAAAAGCAAATTGCACCTGGCTGGCGCAGAAAAAAAAGGTCAGGCAACCAGAACAGGTAGAGGCACAGAGTATGCGCCAGCCAGGCGGTGAGAGAGGAGAAGGGACCAATCGATAACTACGCAGAGTATACACATCCAGAATAAACGAGGAACGAACATAACGAATAGAGAGCGAGATACACGTGCAACAGTGAGCGCGGGCGGTCGTAACACAAGAAGTAGCGCCGCAAGCCTGGTGTTACCCTGGCCCCCTACCCCTCCACAACGCCTACCTTTTACCACCTCCTCCTCCTCCTCCTCCTCCTCCTCCTCCTCCTCCTCCTCCTCCTCCCCCAACTCCTCCTCCTCCTCCTCCTCTTCCTCCTCCTCCTCCTCCTCCTCCTCCTCCTTCTCCTCCTCCTACGCTTCCTGCCGCCCTGCCTCCCGTGCCCTCCCCACGCGACAAAACTCCTGGGCGGCCTCCTGCTCCGCCTGCTGCGCGGCCGCGAGGGACTCCTGCAGCTCGTCCCTGCTGGCCTCGCCCGGGAGCGGGGGCGGATGGGAGGGGGAGGAGGAGGAGCAGCAGGAGGAGGAGGAGGAGGAGGAGGGCGAGGAGGAGGAGGAGGGAGGAGGAGGAGGAGGAGGGGAGGAGGGCGAGGAGGAGGAGGAGGAGGAGGAGGATGAGGAGATGAGGGCGAGGAGAAGGAGGAGGAGGAGGAGGAGGAGGAGGAGGAGGAGGAGGAGAGGAAGAGTGGAGGGAAGGAGGATGGGAAGTCACCCCCGCAGTGCTCACGTGCAGCATGAGCGCCCAGAGAACAAATTTCTCGACGTCGGCGGCGTCTCCCCCCCCCAAAAAAAACAAAAGACAAGAGAGAGCGCACGAATGCTGCAACAGTGGCGCAACTGGCAGCACAGCGGGAGGAGGGCGAGGAGGAGACGCACACCGACGAGGAGGACCGGAAGCGAGGGGAACGGGGGCGGAGGGGAACCCCGACCCGAGGGCGAGGCCCCCCCCCCGCGCGGGCGGTGACGCACGGCCTTCAGGGCGTCCTGCTCCCGCTGCGCCTGCTGGCCGGCCTGCTCCTCGCTGGCCCTGGCCTGCTCGAGGAGCTCCTCGGGCGCCAGGCGCGCCCCCCTCCGCCCCAGCTCACCTCCCGCCCCTCCCGCGTCGTCGCCCTGCTTTCACCCCCCCCCCCCTCTCTGTCGACGAGGGGTGTCGAGGCTGGGGGCATCTGGGCGGGCTTCGCCCCCGTCGGGCCTCCCAGAAGCTTCTCGCGGCCGCGGCTGGATTCGCCGAGAAAATCCATTCAAAACGCAGCCTGGGACATAACTCCAGCCCATGTCGCGAAAAGCGGGCCTGCCACGAAGAAGCCCCCAAGCCGAGATCATCGGAGGGACGAGGAAGGGAGGGGAGGGGGTGTGCGGCTTCACGGGGATCCCAGACCCATGGAACGCACATAGACATACTGATACTGTCTGTCCTCCTTGGCTGCGCGCGTCCGACCCGAACATCGTTTTCCGAGCGGTGTGGCCAGAAAGCGCCCGCCTCGACGCACATACCATAAGATATCTCGGTGCGCGAGTCTCCCCTGAGGGGGGGGCGACGCACATATAGTATCAGCATGTATGCTGGGGTGCCACCGAACCCAGGGCAGCCAGAGGGGATCAGAAATGATTGGCTGTCTCCCGTCAGGGCCGACCCTGACCCAAGAGTCGGCGGTGGACAAACCTCGCTTTAGTAAACCTCCCTTTATTGAAAACGGCCTAAGACCGAAACCGACGGACCTGGACCCGCAAAAATGACGGCCGCGACGCCCTCTCGCGAACCGAAAACGGCCACTTCGCTAATCGTCGTGTCAGGGTAGGAGGTCGATCAACCTCCGAATCAGAAAAGGATTGACCCGGAGGGAGCCCGACGCAAATCCCTCTCGGGGCCGACTCCGGCCCAGGAGGGCCGACGCTCGTGGGAGTCCACCCGTGCCTGGATCCAGGAGGGGGGCCCTGGCGGGGGTGGCATGAGGCGTCAAGCGCTCACGGCCAACGGCACAAGCGAGATGAGGCGGCGTCCGCAGGCTTCCGCAGGGCGGGATGGCAGCCCACATCGATAGACTGTGCAGGCTGTAACAGCCAGTAGGTGCACCAGTCCATCGATGAATCGATCGATGCGTCGACCGACTGGCTGTTGTCAACCACCCAAGGCTGGTGGCACGAGGTCGGCTGGCATCTACGGGTTTCCTTTCGTCGGGATGACAGCCCACATCGGTAGACTGCGTAAGCTGTGGCCACACACGGGCGCAAAGATCTGTGAATTCATCGATCGATCGACCAGGAAGTGAGATCCAGAATGACTCCATACAGCTATGGAATCTGCGATTGACGAGGCCTCGACTAGCCATCGATCCATGCCTCGATCGTGTAACCTTTCCATTTCCCCTTCTATGGACGCACTGTCCACCGCTCGTGCGTTTTCCGAAGTAGTCGATGCATCTGCCGAATGCTTACAAACTGGCATGAGGATCATGAGTGATTGGTGTCTGCTTGACGTTGACTGCTACATGCGACAACAAGGCTGCACTGCAATGCTTCAATACGTTCTGTATCCTGGGTGCCCGTGGCAAACCAGAACATCATACTGCACAGGGTCTCGAAAACGGGCCATTTCACGCATGACACTCAACAGCAAGATGATCACATGTGCTGGGCTTCCGTGGGAGAAGGGGAACGATGAGGTGGAGCAAGCACCATCAAGAGGAAGAGAGGACCAAAAGGTCAGTCTTAGAGCGTTCCTTATGTTTCCCGCTAGCGGCCGTTAACCGCCCTGGCCCCCTACCCCCCCCTTGAGGTAACGTAACGTAACGTAATGTTTCCCGCCAGCGCCTAGACATTCCGACATCCCCAGACGGCGCTGGCGCGCGAAACGTGAGGTTACCGTCCCCCCCAAATAACGCCCATTATCGCCTGGGAATAAACAAACGCTCTCAATAGGTCAAGATCGGCTACACGCAAGAGTGACCCTGGGTAAGAGTGACCTTTGGTGCGCGGCTTTTTGGGGGGCCGCGGGGGGACCAAACACAAGCGCGCAAGATGCTACTATCGCATCGTGTTTCGCGATCGGGGGACCCCAATGGGCCCGCACCAAAGGTCACTCCGGGGAGAAGGCAGTCTTACGTGTGGCCGACAAGAGCGAGCCCGCACGTTTTTGTTCTACCGGCTCGATGCTACAGCCGGCCTCCTCGCCTCAACGGTAGCTTGCACCGTGGACAGCAGCACATACACAGGCACGCTTAGGAGCGATTGTTTTACACAGGGAAGTAATATTAACCAAACAGATGTCTGAGAACACATACTCTGCAAATATCATGTTCTGAACTGCTGGCTTGAAATAATAACTGTTCCACGTTCCAAAGAAGTAACGGCATCATGAATAAGCTGCTGATACGGAAACACGTTACAGAAAATGGAGGGCACGAAACTACAGATCTAAGAACATCTCCGCAGTCTACAATGGAATCATGAGTTTCTGGTGTATCTCTCCGAATCGATGACTCAGCCTCTGATCTGGAAGCGGCTGTTTCGTAATGCATCTTCTTTGTGTGTAGTGGACGGGTGCTGCCCTGATTGTCTTCCCGCCGCAGCAGCTCTGCCATAGGACATGCCCGGGGACTGAAATTGCTGAACCTCCCCACGCTTGGTGGCCATCCTGGGGGGCCCTCTCAGCACGCTCTGTATACATGCCTCAAGTCTGAAAAGAATGAAGAGATGCGCACCCAGGCAAGCCTGCGGGATTCCCCCCCCGCAAGGAACACCGAATGAGGAACAAAGGAGCTTTTCAGGCCAATGGGAACCTCGGCCACAAATGCAAAATAGGACCCACGACCTAGGTCTAAGGAACGGCCCGGAAACCTTAGCTCCAACAGAGCCCCGAATGGCTCTTATTTCAGCGTCTTGACTGTAGTGTTGTACGGCAGCGGTTACGACATACCCACACACACCGCCCAGCCAGTAGAATGAAGAAGCAAGCAAAAAGTGCATCACCTCCGACAGCGCTGAGACTGTAACACTCGACGCTGTCACACCAGTGAAGTAGCCCTGCCAGCACCGCGGATACAGCGGTGAGAGCACCCAGCCCACCCATTGCAATAAGACCTGCGCATCGCTATCTATCAGGCCGCGACAAGACGGCAATGAAGAAGCAACAACTTGAGAATCGAACCAAGCACCAGACACATAGCGGGTAAATGTGTCCACTGCGCACACGCTCCTGCAACATGAGCTGTGTAGACTTCCATCACATCGGACGCAAAGAAACTATGCACATCCCTTACAACTCCGGGAGACCTGGTGCATATACCACTGTCGCCGAAGGCCCCCTTAAACCCAACGAGTATAAATAGCCAAGAATTTCAACTATCAGATCGCAATTCTAGCCTCTTCCGGGGGAACAATTCAGGGAGGCTCAGATCGCTCATCTCTGGAGAGGATACTGCTTCTGGCAACCTTGTTCTATGAATCGAACGCGGTGCACACCAAGGAGACCAATCGTCGGCGGCAAAGCCTCGTAGACTCTGCTGTGCTCGACCCACGCTGGTGTATCTGCAGTCCTGTGCTTCCCTCTGGAAGCCAGAGCTCCTTGCGCTTTTCGCGTGCTGGCCCAGGCTAGGGTAGCCCAGTAGGCAGGACAGCATCTTGATACTTGCAGATCTTAGCTGCCCCGATACGCAGCACGCAACACGTAGCGTAGAGATACGGAGCTCAACACGTAGCGTAGAGATACGGATATCAGAGCGCAATACGTAGAGATACGGAGCGTCTGACGCGATACGTTCGCGAACAGGTGGGCCAATACGATGAGCCAACACGCAACGTATTGACACGGACGTCTGAAGCGCGGCACTCGCTGCGTATCAACACGGGTGTATCGAGGCAGCTGAGTTGCAGATTTCAAGCCAAGCAATATCCGTGCTGCCCTGTCGTCCGCCCGGTCTTCACCACCCCTCCTGCCCACACGGCCTGACCTAGGACAGAAACACGCCTTTCAAGAACGTGGGACTCTCCGCCGACCAAACCGGAGAACGTTTGAGGGCGACCACCCCCATGGATGCACACAAACATCCGACAAACACGAAGAACACTGCGCTACCCTTCCCGAACCGACTTCCATCGTATTCCTCGGCCCGACCGCAACATACCCTGCCTCCCCCGCGGTCCCACTCGTACTCCCATCGACCCTGCTTCTCTCCTCTACGGAGCTGGTTTCCCTGAGTAGCGCTTGGCTAGAAAGGGCTCTATCTAATCGTGGCGCACAACGTACACAAGAACCCCACAGGAGGGACGGGGAGCCCGAGAACGGCCCATCAAGAGGCAGCACAGCAGCCGCTCCGCCTGCAGAATTCTCCTACTCTAAGCAGGGGCCGTGCTTTCATCCCCAATGACCTCCAGTTCCGCCCGGGAGATGAACGCGCCCACGTGGACGGCGCCGACACCACGGTAGACCCGAGGCGTACCCTTCGTCCCGCGCCCGATGAGACGGCGCCAGCACCGCGGCAGACCCCACGGCTCCCCAGTGGCCGCGGCGCCCTCGTGGCCGCGGTGCCCTCCCAAGACGTGCGGCCGCGCGTCGGGACAAACGGCGTGGTGACATACAGGTGTGTGTGTGTATATATGTATATACAACTAGAGAGAGAGAGAGAGAGAGAGAGAGAGACTCACATTGGTGTGTGTGCGTGTGTGTGTGTGTGTGTGTGTGTGCGTGTACGGAGGTCCGTACTCCTACGTGCGTAAAACAATTCCCATGAGGACCTGCTGGGATGACCGACTGATTGTTCGCGGCGTTGGCTGTGCGACAAAACAAAGTATCGACGCGGCGACACAGCATCTCCTAGACGCTATAGCTGGGACGTGGCAGCATGGATGCAGCAGACGACGATGTGCACTGGTGTGTGGACGTGCTCGGGTATACACGGGCAGAAGCAATCACATCGAAGTTTTGGCGATTGACTAATCACTTGAAGGGCCGCAAAAAAAAGGATCACATTTTTGCAATGACGTCTTAATGAATCAAAGCCGATGCGTGACACCCTGCATTTCCCTGAAGGCTGGCTATTGGCGTGTATGTCTTCCCGCATGTGCGTACGCTACGCGCACGTACGGATGTGGTAGGTTTAACCGCCACATCTAGCTCAGGGAGTAGGAACGAGCAAACATCGGATGGCGGCGACACCTATTCTGAACAATTATGAGCTTGTCCCGGTGTTGTGTAATTGCCTGCGCTATCGATTCGCGCGGCTGTGTAATGTGGTCGGGATGTATTCCCCTTCTCCCGTGCAAGACCTCCGAAGTAACACATGTTGCCGTTGAAATAACCTCGTCCAGCAATACAGCGGCCCAGGACGGCGCAGTGGTGGTCGAAATGCAGCACGCAGCGCTCGCACGTCTTGCAGTGATGTGGCCGACGTCCTCGGCAACTCTGGTCACAAAGATCGGTGGCATCCAAGAGGGGAGCGTCAAAGAAGGGGGCTAGCAAATAATGGGCTGGGGCATGTGCGCGGACGAGGGGGGGACCAGGGGACGTAGTGGAATAATAGAGGGGGCAATGAAAACTACTTAGTTAGACATCATAGCCGGGCCATGGCATCCAATCCCCCTTGTCATCCCCCCCTCCTGGCAGCCCGCGACACAAAAAAACATGGTAATCAAAGGTGCCGGCCGTGAGAAAAAAAACGCTGGCATGCTTGCGACTCCATCGGAGCAGCGTCTGGGAGACCAGCGTCAAGAAAACAGCGCCTGTGGGACAGCGCGCGCGTCCAAGACTGGGACGCAGCAAATGCACGCTGCAGTGGAGCATCGCGCTTTTCAGTGGCGGGCAGCCTCCATGGGCAGCCTCCCACACGAATCCACGGAGGGAGAGACGGAGGAGGGAAGAAGAGGAAAGCAAGGAGTAGAGGAAAGAATGGGAGAAGGGCCTCGCCGGTTCCTCCTCCTCCTCCGCCTCCTTCTCCTCCCCCTCCCCCTCCGCCTCCGCCTCCTCCTCCTCCTCCTCCTCCTCCTCCTCCTCTTCCTCCTCCTCCTCCTCCTCCCATCGGTGGTGGCATGGAGGCGCCTAAGGGGCTCTTCTTCGCTTCAAGCTCTCCGTCAAAGGTCTGCGGGGCTCTGTGCTCTCGTACTCCTGCGTAGGAGGCGGCAGTGAGGCTGGATGGGATCAGTAGCACCTGGCTGCTTTCTTTAGTGAGCAAGACGATCTGCCCGTCCCCAGCTCCTCCAACGACAACATGGTGCATGCTGTTCACCGTCGTACGCTGTAATGGCCAGGTATCCATCGACCCCGCCAATGGGAGACAATGGCATGAGGCCCGTGCCCACTTGACGGAACACGCGATGAACTGTTGGGTAGGCCCGCGCAGGGAAAAATAATGCGCGTGCTCTTACCAAGGTGGTTCGTCCAACCAGCACTGCATCTGAACAGGGAACGTACCACGCACTGGTGGCAATCGCGGAGGTCCCAGGCGTGTTGGAGGGCTTCGCGCTCTCCTCGACAGGCTGCAGGGCTTCACGCCTGCCAGCGGCAGGCGAGAGACTTGTTCGAGCTGATGGGACGCCTGCGTCCTGCTCGTATCGGCCGTGCCCATAGAGCCCAGAGGGGCCCGAACAAGATTGGCCTTCGGGGTGGTGCCGTCATTGTCTGGCATGGCCAGAAGATGGCCTGCCGCTTCGATGCAGGACCCCTTGCGCGCACAAGGGCCGGTTGAGCGGCTGTCAATGCCATAGCGGAGCCGCGGAAACATACACACAGATGGCACGGAGAGACTACAGCGTTGAGTTTTCGAGGTGTAGCGCACCGCCAGCGCTGCGTTTGCAAGGGGGAGTAATGAGCGTAGCCTTAGGTCGGGCATGTCCCCCTACAGGACGAGTTTGAACGAAAAATCAAACATACTCAAAACAACAAAATGAAATGCTCAGAACTAGTCAAAAATAGTCCCTCGACTATTTTTGGACTGCTTTTGGATATTCCCTCTGTAGAGGGACAGGCCCGACTTAAGCGTAGCGCATGGCTCGCTCTGTCGGCAGTGCCTTCACCGCTCGAGCCAGCACTGGAGGGCGGACGGGGTGGATGGATGGACAGCTCGAAAAGGACAGAGGACGGAGGAGCCGCAGGATGGTGGATAAGAAAAAACAACGGTGCGGGAAGAGGCGGAGCGAGGAAGTGGGAGCAGAAAGACGAGCACGCAGATAAGGCGGGCAAGGAGGAGAACGAGCGCCAGGAGGAGCGACGGTGTAGGACGATCCGGAGAGGGGAAGGAGTGGAAGGGGCCAAGGACGAGGACGACGAGGAGGAAGCGGCGTCGGAGAAAGACAATGATGAGGAAGATGCGGGGGGAACGGAGGCACACTATTTGCAAGGGAGGTGGCGGGGGAGCTGATGATGAGGACGGAGGACGACCTCGAGGACGAGACGAGCTCGAGGAGGAGGAGGCGCCTCTGGCCCGCACCGGGGCGCCCAACGCGGGGACCACGTCGGGGCTCCGCCACACGAGGCACCGCACGCAGAAACTCCTGGCGCGCGGAGGCCGATGCCTCTGGCCGGCGCGCCCCGCCCCTCGGTGGCGGCTGGAGGTTCGTGCATGAGAGAAGGGGCCTCCCAGACGGGGCCGAGCAGGTGCGGTCGGAGGATCGCGCCGCAACGATGCATCGCCGATGCATCGGCGATGCATTCGCGACGTCGGCGACGTATCGGTGCCGTTGGAGCGGAGGAAGTCGGGCTCCACATCGAGCCGCATCGCCGATGCACAGGCAATGCGGCGCGATCCTTCGACCCCATCTACTCGGACTCCATCGGAGAGGCCTAGACGGAAGCGAGGAGGGAAGCGAGGGAGAGCGGGAGGGGGTCGGGAATCGAGACTCTCAGGCAAGCGCGCGTTTCGTGGGGGCGTCTCCGCTGCCTTTTGGGCCCTCTTGAAACCTCCCAGAGGCCGCCGGCGACCTCCAAGGACCTCCGGAGACCCGCGGAGACCTTTGGGAAAGGGGGGAACAAGGGATGGGACGAGCGAGGGAAAGGATGTTGATGAAGAGGGCGAGGAAGGCGAAATGAAAAACAAAACTAATAACTTACATTGGCGCTCCGAAGGTTTATTCCGATTTGACAGGCACGGCGCCGCGCGAGTGCAGCGCAAACGCTATGCTGGAAGGGCGCGGCAATGCGTACCCCCTGGACAGGCGAGAGCAGCCGCACCCCCGTGCGAACCCCGATCCCGCGCGGGGCGCGCTCCCGTTGACAACGGCTCACCCGGGAAACCGATTTTTGTGCAGGAAGTCCTAGGCGGTCTGCCCATCGGCGGCTCCTTCGAACGAGGCCCGGAACCACCGAGAAACCGTTTTTGATAGGAAGTTCTAAGCGATTTGCTCATGTTCGGTTTCTTCGGAGTGGGCCCGAAGACCTCGAGAGCGATGTTTTTGCAAGGCGTCCTAAGCGGTTTGCACATTTTGGGGTCGTTCGAACCGGACCCGACATTTTTTGTGGCACAAATCCGATAGGATTTGGCCACTTTCAGGTCGGCCGGTAAACTTTTCGGGTCGTCGTATGACCGAACCCGAAAGCTTTTTTTCGAAAAGGTCTTAGCTATGCCGTTTGCTCATTTTCGGGTCAGTTCACCATTTGGGATTTGAAATTTAAATTGGGAAGGATGACGAGAAGGATGAGGAGGAGGAGGGAGAGGAGGAGGAGGAGGAGGAGGAGGAGACGAAGGAACATAAGAAGAAGAAGAAGAAGAAGCTACAGTGCACCTGGGAGGAAGAGAAGGAAGAGGCGAAGGGTAACGAGGTGGAGCGAGGGGATGGCAGCGCCCACGCATGGACACTGATGCCGACAGCGGAAACGGCAGGAGGTGGAATATGACGACGACGAATCTTGAGAAGGACGAAGAGGGAGGGAACCACTCTTCCTATGTGGTTCCAGATCCCCCTGCCAACACGCTCCTACAGTACTTGAAACCAGAAAATATCAGACACCTCACCCGCCGACCACTTTTCGCAACCCAGCCGCCGTGGCCTTCTGAAAGACTCCTCCTCCTGATCCTGCTACAGATCATCTTGAGTCTCTTGCCCCTGACCCTGACCCTGCTTCTCTCCTTCCCTGACTACTGGCTGATACTCCTCCTCCTCCTTCTCCTCATCCTCCTCCTGCGCATCCTCCTCATTCTTACCGATTGTGCGATGCGCTTCGCGCAAGCACTTCCTCTCGAGTACCGGTGAGACCAATACACCAGCTCCGACAGCTCAGAGCATGCACGCGGGAATGGCTCGAGACCTAGCTCCACAACCAAACTGTCTGCTACGAATGCTGAAACTAATGTCCCCAGCTGTTTCACTGATTCCTGTCGGCTGGTCGTGGTTACATTTTTTTCACAACTAAAAACCCGCTGCCCATCAGGAGGGCAACCCCATTCACTCAAGTTATCCCCCTCGCAGCAGGCAGAAGGCAGCGCAACCAATGAAGTACCACCAAGACCCGAGGAGGGGAGAGGATGGGCAGGGAGGACTGGGCAAGCAATCAAGTCATCACCCATGGAGTCCTGGTGCAAAGCAGCGGTTTGACGTTAAGACCAGTGCGAACTCTGGGAGGCATGTCATTTGAACGCCGATCTACCTCTGGACCTGGGCCCTGTGCTCTCGCCCAAAGGGCAGAGGAGGAGGACTGAAGACCGAGATCGGGATGGATGGCCGATTGGCCGACCTGCTGCCGATTGCCCGTATCCTCGTCGGGCGGCGTGGATTCGCACATGGGCGGCTGCCACCGACGTGCGCCCTCTCTCGGAGTCACGCTGTCGGGGGAGGAGGGAGGAGGCGGAGGAGGGAGGCGGAGGAGGAGGAGGAAGGAGGAGGAGGAGGAGAAGGAGGAGAGGAGGAGGAGGGAGGAGGAGGAGGGGGAGGTGGAGGAGGAGGGCGGAGGGTGGCGCGCAAGAAGGTCGTGGACCAGAGCGGACGCCGAGGAGGATGGGGCAGAGCAGGAGCTGCCCCCACCCACACGGAGAAGTCCTCGAGGCCAAGATCGGTCAATATAAAGTCTCGGCAGTGGGAGGGCGGATTGGGGGAGCAGGACGAGGAGGAGGGAGGCGGTGAATGAGGCGCGAGACGACGGCAGGCGCGGGAGGCGACGGGGGAAGCGAGGATAGGTAGGAGCCAGAAAAAAAAAACACGCAAAGGAATTTCACAAAAAGGGTTCCGGCACCACCAACGGTGCAACGCATGTGCACACATGCCACTGGATCCCCAGCGATCCGAACCAGGGTTGATGCACGGCCGTGCTCTAGGATGCAGTTGACATGCATGTTGTTTTCTCCATCTCGCCCCCATTGGGGGCGAGATGGAGAAAACAGGAAAGGACGAGGAGGACTGGGGATGCGTGGCGCGCGCGGGAAGGGCGCCTCCCCCGAGGGAGGGCGGAGGGAGAGCCCGCCCAGGAACCCCCTCCGAGCCCATCGGGCCTGCTGGAGCCCTGGCTGAGCTCGAACGCTCCCGCCGACCCTGACCCCGCAGACGTCTCCAGCCGTTCCGCAGACGCCCCCCGCGGAATGCCCCCGAGGCCCACGGGGCCAACGGCGCCCCGAATCCCCGACCCCTTCGACCGTCGTGGGCAAGGTTTGGGAGACCCCTCGGTTGGACGGTCTCCCCCGGGGCCGTAGGCGACCAGAGGAGGAGGAGGAGGAGGAGGCGGAGGAGGCGGAGGAGGAGGAGGTGGTGGTGGTGGGTGGTGGAGGAGGGGGAGGGGGAGGATGGGGAGGAGGAGATGGAGGAGGAGGAGGAGGCGGAGGAGGAGAAGGAGGAGGAGGAAGAAGAGGAGATGGAGGAGGGAGAAGGAGGAGGAGGAGGCGGAGGAGGAGGAGGAGGAGGAGGAGGGGCCGCCTAAGCCCTTCGGAGACACCCTCCACCCCGGGTGGAAGGCGCCGCCTGTCGCCGTCCCTGATGTTCGCGAGCCCATCCGTGGACTGGCCGCCTCTCAGCCGCTCGGCCACCTGCCGCAAGGCCGCGGCCCTCCCGCGCTCCCTCCTGCCACCCCGCCTGCCTTCGCCCTCCCCCGCTCCCCCCTCCCGCCCTGCTCTCCTCGACTACGCGTAAGACTGACCCCTCGCAGGAGGGACCTCTGGTGCGGGCGCAGTGGGGCCCCCCGAATGCCGAACGCGATGCGATAGTAGCGTCTTGCGCGCTTGTGGTTGGCCCCCCCGTGGCCCCCCCAAAAGCCGCCTGCTTTCGCCCCCCCCCCCCCCCCTCCCGCCCTGCTCTCCCTGCCCCTCCCTGCATCCGCCCTCTTACGCGAGGCAGCGCAGCTGGATAAAGCAGGAGGCCCAGAGCAGACCGGACTTGCCGATTTTCGGCCGGCGAAGCATCCGAACAAATTCCCTGCCATGAGTGCTTACACAAAACTGCTGTCGCTTAAGCCACGTAGACGATTGTGCTCCCAGGAGGTCTGCCTAGACAAGAACGGCCGCACATCGGACCGGTCCAGACAGAATGCGACGGAGGCGCAGCCCAGTGGATCGGAACGTCACCCTCGCTGACACAGAGAGAAAGAGAGAGAGAGAGAGAGAGAGAGATGAGAGCACATGTGCCAAACCCGCGGACCCCCGCCAGCCAGGTGTGCACACGGTGTCTGAGCCAGTCGGCTGTCCCGAGCTCCCAAGGTCCAAATGCTGTCTGAGGAAATCCCTTCGGTGCTCACCCTCGGCGTCTCCAGCTCCACCATGCCCCAATGGTTTTTGAATCTGCTCTTGTTCCCGCTGCTCCGGGCACGTGCGAGCCCCCAGGCGGGCTGGCGCAGCCTTCCGAGACCGCCAAGCCCAAGAAGTCCCCACGAGGGCCCCGAGACGGCCCAAGAGGGCCCCGAGACGGCCTCGGATGCCCGCAGGACGGCCCAAGAGGGCACTCGAGAGGGCTGTGAGGGGGGCCTGGGAAATGCCCAAGACAGGAACTCACAGAGACCCCAGGATCCCTCCTCAACAACTGATGGGCCTGTTCACCACCACCACCATAAGTTGGAGGGGGAGGGGGTCTTCCTCCTCCTTCTCCTCCTCTTCCTCCTCTTCGCCCTCCTCCTCCTTCCCCCATCCAACTGATGGTGCTGGCGTTGGAGAACAGGCCCATCAAACAAGAATGGCCTAAAGACCCCCAGCATGCTCCCAAGAGGCTTCCAAGAAGTCCCCCCCCCGAGGGCCCTCACAAACACCCAGGAGAGCTGAAACAAACCTCCCCCCGAGGCCGTCCCAAAGGCCTCCTAGAGGCCCCAAGGAAGCCCCACAACAGATACGGACTCCTCCTCCTCCTCGCTAGCTCTAGAGCATAAAGGTGCTACCTCATTCAACATGCAGAGAGAGGGGGGGGGAGTCCATGACGCAAAGCAAGCGTCGGGCCGCGCCAAAATAGGGTACAGGGCCGCCATGGCCTGGCAGGGAGGAGCTCGTTCTCCTGCACAGAACGGGAACGGGCCCGCACGCGGGCCTGGGCCCCCAGGGTCCGCGCTTCACTTTCAGACAGGCCAAAGAGGGCCAGACCTCGACAGAGGTCGATACCAGGGGCCCCGCTCCTTGCTCGAAGCCTCGGGTTAGACAAGCGAACTGAAGCTTGGCCCTCGCTCCCACGGGACTCCTCAGAGCCCCCCATGGAAAGGGCAGCCACTGGACTGTCTCGAACTGGTTCAAGCCGCCCGCCTCCTGGACCGAACAGCTCGAGGTGGACAAAGGATGGGGCCCCCTCTCGGTCCTGGAAAGGTTCCGAGCACCAGTGCATGTCCTGGGGCGACACTTGGACCTCGGCTTGCACCTCGATTTGGCGTGGACCCTCTGGCCCAAAGACACGTTACTGCCACAACTGGTACAAATAATCATAGACCCGACCTGGATTCCATCCTCAAGAACCATGCAGTGCTCATTCCAGGCCCAAGACTCCCGAACCACCTCGTCGGGAATGTCCTCGCGGGGCTCCTCGGCACCCAGAGGCTCACCACTGCAACAGGCTGGAATAGGGAGGCCTGGCAGGGGAACACATTCGATGTTGCCCACCCACTCGCCTCACATGATCTCTGCATTCAGCATGGGAAAGGACAGCTTGTTGAAACGCCCCATATCGAGCGACTCGCTTCGCAATTAGATGAAGGCCTCCCAGGAGCAGGAGGTCCTGCCCGAAAAGGTTGAGCCCCCCTTTTGGCTCGACGGTCGGCCTCCTGATTCCCTCGCCAGCCCCTGTGGGTAAGCTTACCATCGAGCACTGCATCGCAAGGCATGTGAGACGGCACCTTCGCGAATCTGACTCCTTGCAGCCTGCCGCCGTTCTCGCTCCACCAGCGCGCCCTCTGCTCCGCGGCCCAAGCAATATCGGGGGACCCAAGAAGCCTGGCGCAACCCAGCGAACCAGCACAATCCATAATGGACTGTGACTGCAAGGGCCGCAGTTGCACTTCTCGACAACATGAGACTCGCATAGCCCCCCCCCCCCGTCTGAAACAATCTGGCACGGTCCCTCCGCGAGGGGCGCAGGCCCCAACATAACTGAAAGGATCTCCATTGACGTCTGCAACCGCCACCGACCATCCAGCAACACGCAAAGAAGGGCACAACATCTCGAAACCTGAACCGTCGGTGTACACATGCTGGTCAAACTGCTGGATAAGCCCCTCCCGGGGCCAGTTGATTCTCTGCGTGCACGGCTCCTCTGCGATCCTGTCTGGCCGTCGTGCAACGCGACCTGGATCTGGGAAAGGTCTCGACAGATAAGCTCTTGATCCTCAAGCGCGAGATGTACTACCCTGGCCGCTGCCGTTCGAACCAATCCGTCTAAATTCTCACGCCTCCAGTCAGCGTGATCAGGGCAGTCAAATCCCCGAGGAAACGTAGTACCAGCTGCGCCCTGGCAAAGTTGATTGACGTGAGTGACTTCCTTCGCGCGCAAGTTGGTCCGCTCCTGACCCCCATAAACGTTGGCGACCATGGACTTTCAACAACTCTTCTGGTGATCGTGCCATCCTGGAGAACCATTATGACATGAAAACCATACAACGGAGCCCAGAACATTGGCCCATTCCAGTACTTGAAAGACGCCTGGTCGGCCTGCTCGCCAGCTTCAGCTGCTCTGCGCGCCCCTGCCTTGATCATGTGGCCGAAAAAGGCGGGAGATAACTTCGTCAAATACCAGGCCCAGTCCACGTCGTCTCGAACTACGTCCGTGCCTAAGTCGATCGACCAACCCAGCCGCCGAAGCGCGAGCACAAGGGCCGCCAGAGGCTGCTTCACCGCAGCCCACGGTCCGGCGAGAGTGAATGTTCTTCGCGCGTCTTCCAAACCATTTTGAAAGACTTATCAGGAGACTGTCTTGTTCCAGTAGACGCGCGCAAACTCCTTGATGCACAGCGCAGCCGTGACCGCAATCGGATCTCTGCGCCGCACCGAAGGACTTCCGGGAAAGCGGAACCCTATACTGGCTCCTCGCGGAACTCCTCCTACAGCTGTGGCCGCCAGCACACGTAAATGTCTCAAAGAAGATACCCAGGTTGGCCGTGCCCCAGATGGACTTGGCGAGGGGTGCCGCGCGACGGATCCTGGACACGACGGGTCTTAAGCCGAACGTGGCGAGACGGGCCCCCCCTTTTCTCTTGGCCTCCTGGGTCCTGGTGAGCTGAGTTCCCAAACGCCTCCTGTGGCCGCTGTTCGAGTCCTCTTCCGAGGTCCCTGTGAGCCAACGAACGATTGGCTTCCCCAAAACAGAAACCCTCGGCCTCCAAAACCGTCGGAATAAGACTCGCGTCGGAACAAAGCCAGAAACATGTATCCCAAGAGATAGGTAGCTTGACCTCCTCCATGCCCTTCTGAAACAGGGCGCAGACCCGACCCGCGAACCTGATCGCTGTCTCAGGGCCCTGATGATGTGGCCAGTCAGGTCGTCGATCACGTTGATGGTCCTGCACGGCGGGACCTCCCGAGCCAGACATCCCAAGACGGCGGACAACAACACAAGTTTAGAAACCCCCGTCGCACAGGAACACCCTGCAATGACCTTGCCGTTCGCCGAGATCTGCTCGCTGGTACTCACCCCCATCTAGCATGCCGAGGAGACCTGTAGAGGGTGCAGGGAGCCTTGAGGAGCCCCATGTCGAAGCCGAAGTGGAAACCTGTACGCCTGCTTCTGCGCGAGAGATGTTCTCACATAATTTCGCAATGCCGAAAAACACCGAGATAGAGACCAGCCCCTTGCGACGAGCCTGGCAGACCAACAGGTTGTGAATGTAACTGGCTCTCTCGGCCGAGGTCGCTCCGCTCTTGCCCCAACATGCCGAATTGTCAACTTGGCGCTGCCAACGTCGAGCCTCGCGCTGCCGAGTCCGACTCCAAATACGAGCGACCGAACTGAGTAGCCCGATGGGGCGCACCCCCCCTGTGGGCTTCGGAAGGAACGCCGGCAGGATGCTGGCGAGTCTCTCCACTGATGCCCTGCTGGCAAAACGCAGGGAGCGTGGGTGAAGTGCCTCCCACCCAAAGGCAATACCAGGTGGGAAGCACTGGAGCACACCGTGAATCTCATCTGTTGTCATATCCCGAAATGCCCCTTCGGCATCCCAAGAAGACAACGGCGGCTCTCGGTTACGTGCAAGAGGGCACCAGAAAACTTCCCATTCACGAGCAATCTGCTCAACTGCGCTCTGACCAACACAGACAAGCCCATCTGAAATAATGGCCTCCTCCTCCTTCGGCTTGCCGCGAATAACTGCGAAGGCAACCTTGGCGTGGCCCTCCAGCGCCTCCGTAAAAAATCTGCGCCACTGTTGAGCCCGTTCCGAGGCATCTCTCTGTTGCCTCAGCCGAACCTCATGCGCACAAATATCATGAAACCATTCACAGAGAGCTCCTCCACGCAATGCCAGATCTATCCACTTCCGCACGTGTGGCTCCCTGAATACCTCCGAATCTGAAATAGCAGGCGGTAGCGAGATGGCCTCCAGCTTGCTCTCTAAGCGTGCTCGTCGATCAGCTCGCTTGCGTCTCGATCCCATACGGGCCTCACCCCACAACTTGAGCTGCTCCCATAACTTGAGCGCCCCACGCCACCGTGGCGTGCTCTCTGTGTCGATGTAATGCTTGAGACGAGTCACTCGCGTGGAGAGCTTCACCTGCCTGAAACGAGGGCCTCGGGCCCGGCCTTTGTATGCTGCCTGCTCCTCCCCAACTCCTCCTCCTCCTCCTCCTCCTCCTCCTCCTCCTCCTCCTCATCCATCTCCTCCTCCTCCAGGAGGACGTTTCAGCAACAACTACATGCAGGCAGCACGACGGGAAGCAGCAAACAACAGGTGCGAGACCGGAAGTCGCACATATCCTCTCCAGGGGGTCGGCGGAGTGGCGCACGCGTCTTGGATAAGGCGGACAAGCGATTTCGACAGCAGGTGTGTCTGAACTTCCAGGTCACGATGCCCGCTGTGGTGCCGTATCGTAGTGATCGTGAAAGCGGAGGGGGCGAGGGAGAGGGAAAGAGAGAGAGAGAGAGAGAATGAGAGATATGACGCCATGGAGACATGCTGGTGGGCAACGAAGGACAGTATGTCGACCGGGAGAAAAAACGAACGAGAGAGGGAGGGAAGGTGCGCTGGGCTGGGCAAAGAAAACGGCAATATCATGAGTCCGGGCTCACTGTCAGCGTGTGTGAGGGACCGCCAGTCGTCGTCTCCGTCGGCCCCTTCTCTGCACCCCCCTCCCCAAGCCCGTCCGCGAGAGGAGGCTCTGGCCATGCCGCAGAGTCGAGCCGGAGGGGCGCCCCCTCCGTTCGACCCCCGCCCAGTCGGGGGGGGGGGCGGGGCAAAGGGGGAAGTCCTGGGTGGGGTCGGGGGGCGGGCTCAGGTGCGCCGCTCTCCCTGGGAGCCCCGGGGCCTCGGGAAGCACAAACACAGGCCACGGGTGCCCCGAGAGGCCCCCGAGACAGCACCCAATCGCCAAACGATCGGTTCGGAACGCCTTCGCGCCGCCCCTCAGACTGCCCACGAGGCCCCCTAAGACGCCCCCCCCCAAGAGGTCTCCGAGAGCACTCACGGAGAGGGCCCCAAGAGGCAACATGGCTTGATGTCCCTTTGCTTGCTTAAAAACATTTGGGCGTTCCCGTCGTTTCCTCTTACCACCGCTCCAAGACGACCCGAGAGCCCCCCAAGATCGTCCCACGACGGCTGAAGAGGCCTCCAACACAGCCCACGAGGACCCCAAGGCAGCCCAAAACTCCTGCAGGAAGGCCCAAGAGGCCTCCAAGACGGCCCCAAGAGCGTGCACAGACGGGGGACCCGAACGGGCTGTTCGAGCTCTCGGGCCCGAGAGGCTCCCAGGAGGCCCAAGAAGGTTCCAAGAGGCCCTAAGAGGCCCACAAGGTCCCCAGGAAGCCCGAAGGCCCCCAGGAGGCTCCCAAGAGACCCCCATGAGGCTCCAAAGAGGCCCCGAAATTCCTGCCCAGAGGACCCCCGAGCCTTCCGACGAGACCACAGGAAGCATCCCTGAGGACTCTGGCCCACGCCAGCGTCGTCGTCGTCGCCGCCGTTGTCGCTGTCGTCCCCCTTCAGGGTCGGCGGCACCGGCCGTAAAGCCTTCGCAATACAGCTGCCGGATGTTCAAGACGACATTACGAGCTTGCATGTGCAAGGTGCCAGCAAAGACTGACATATTCACCTACATCGCCTACTTATACGTCTAGACAGGGATGTATATATACACACATATAATACACAAGTCTATGTACCAAGAAAGAGAGAGAGAGAGAGAGAGAGAGAGAGAGAGAACAAAGCAAATAACAATAAACAAGCAGCATAATTAAAGTAAGCTGCTGTGGATACAGAAAGGTAGAAATGCTCGGCCACCTCGGTTGGCAGCGGAAAGCACGCCTCGGCCGAGCGCTTGACCACCCCAGGGTCGCCGAAGACAACTCCACACAACAAGCCCACTGCGAGCACAGCTTCGACGTAGACCAAAACCATAATGGTCCAGGACGCAGGACGAGGGATATCCTGGGCAAGCACGTCTTACCGAGAGGGTCTGCGAAACACAAGTCGGCTCCGACCTTCTTTGGTGTGGCAGGTGTTATTTTTCTTATGCGTGACCATGCGCGCGCGCGTGTGTGTACTTGTGTGTGTGTGTATGTGTGTGTGTGTGTGTGTGTGTGTGTGTGTGTGTGTGTGTGTGCACGTGCGTGCGTTTATACGCGTGTATGCCCGAGGTGCCAGCGGCCTGAGGCACCGGCCGCTTCGGTCGCAGAAGATGGGTGTGCATGTATGTGTACAGGTGTCCATGTCGGCCTGTGCGCACGCCTGCGCATGCGCAGGCGACAGCGAACATGAGTGAAAGTGCGCGCGTGCGCGCGTGTGAGCGTGAATGAGTGTGTGTGTGCGAGTGCGTGCGTGCGTGCGTGCGTGCGTGCGTGCGTGCGTGCGTGCGTGCGTGCGTGCGTGCGTGCGTGCGTGCGTG